GCCAAAATGGCCACGGAGGAGGAGGAGGGGGAGGAGGAGGAGGAGGGGGAGGAGGGAGGAGGGAGGAGGAAGGAGGAAGGAGGGAGGAGATGGAAGAAGGGAGAAGGCAGGAGGGAGGAGGGAGAAGGGAGGAAGGAGGAGGAGGGAGGAGGAGGAGTAGGAGGGGGAGCAGGAGGAGGGGGAGGCGGAGGAGGAGGACGGAGGAGGGATGGAGGATGGAGGATGGAGGAGGGAGGAGGGAGGAGGAGGAGGAGGAGGAGGAGGAGGAGCATGGGTACCCTGAGAAAAGGAAGAGGGCAGGCGGACACGAGCACGAACGAGAAGAGGGCAAATGAGTTAGTCTCTGCCGCCGTGCTCTGGCCCAGCGCCTCTACCTGTATAGCAATGCGTGTGCTGCACGGCGCGCTGCGACCAAGTCTGCTTGCAAAACAGCCGCCGTTCGCGTGCTGGCAGTGGATTTGATTTTGAAGTGAATACGGATTGCCAGTGCGATCCTTGAGACCGTGGTCGGCAAAGACATCGGGCTGGTGGGGCCAGCTGCAAATGCTGCGGCCGCGCCCAGCCCCCATGCCGCCAGTGTTGGTTGGATGAGGAGGAGGTCAGGGAGCCAGAGGAGGTGGTGCGGGAATGCGTCTGGTGCGTCCGTGCATCCGAACGCGCAATTGTGCTGCTGAAGAATATGCATCCTCGCCGTGGTAGTCCAAACACTGCTGATGGGCTTGAATGTAGCCCAGCGCCCGCTCGGGCGCATCTGCTTGAGGGCGCCGGCCAGCGCCTCCCAGCGCTTCTGTAGTTCACCGCGTGCCAGGGGCGCTTGCAAGCTCCAGGCAAGGAGGCGCTTGGCAAGCATATCCGTGAAAAGGCGACTTGAAGGGCTGTTCGCGTGGCTTGACTGTATAGATGCGTTGATACTTGGCTCGGCGGAGTGGGTTCGCGGCTGACGCCTCGCTCTGCTCGCTGTGAGCGGCGTAGGCGGCAGCAGCATTGGACTGGCACGAAAAGGGCAACTGAGCTGCGTGGCGCATGAGAGAGCGGTAGTACTGTACGCTGGCTGCTTGGGAAGACCAGAGAAATTCCCACGCACCTGAGGGCGACTCCGCTGCAAAGCGTGCATCAGAGGCAACAGCTGGCATCAGGGCGGATTCAATGACTATGTGCTGTTCACGGCGTGCGATGGTGAAATCAAGGGGGAGAACTGCGAAACGTAGCTGGACATGGACAGCATTGGTGCATTGTAAAAAGCAGGCAGTGGCGGTGCTGCCAATCTGCCTATGCTGAGGTAGATTACCCCGCTGCCACCATCTTTGCCCAGGGGCGAGCCTTAGACAGGCCAAGGAGGCCTCGGGTCCGAGAAAAGAGCCCAGGAACTTGGCTCGCCCCGCGACCGAAGAGCCATCCCAAGGAGGACCGAGAGCGGCCAGAAGCGCTTTCTGGAGGGCGATGGTGGCTGGGGACGCGTCGAGCCAGACTGGCACGAAAAAACATTTACGCGGATTCACAAAGAGGAGCGCGTGCTCCTCCGTAGCGCCAAACAGGGTGGTCACTTGGCTCAGTGCGTCGACCGGGTTCGATAGCAGGTCGGCGCCCAGGCTCGGCGTACCGTTCGGGAGTTTCACAAACGCAGCGAGGTGGTCGGTGATCGGGTCCATGGCTATCACCCAGGCCACGCCTGATGCAAGGCAACGCTGCACCACTTCAGAGCCCATCACGATCGTGTCGTGGCGCTCGCCGTTGAACTTGATGTAGCTGGATGGTGCGAAGTGCATGGCATGGAAGAGGTTCATGGCGCCCGAGAAGACAAGGCTGGCGAAGACAAGCTTGACGTCGGTAGCGACTGGCAGTTATCCAGCACGGAATTTCACGGCGTCGTAATGGTCGATGATATTGGGGATGCTGCGTCCCTGGAAGAATCCCTGCTGGGTGATGTGCGCGAGTTTTGCCGCGGTGCTCTTGACCGAGAGATTAGCAGCGCCTGCGATGGGCCTGGTGTCTACGTTTTCCAGGGAGAGCGGGGTGCCCGCGGGCGCGCTGTCATTGGTGAGCTCGCCCTGCGCGTTATTGCCCTTCAGCAGGAAGGCAAAGACGGGGTCGTTCAGGTCGCGGATGTAGTGCTGGTCCGAGCAGAAAAGGGACGATATAACTTTTTACGTGTCTGGCGAGGTTTCGCGCGCGAGCCAGACGTAGTGCGGCGGGAAGACGGGGCCAGATGCTGACGGGGGTGCGCTGCTCAGGCGGGCCTGGGGCTGCGGCCTGGTAGGCGCCCCGATGTCGATGGGGGTGCCCTTTGGCGCGCGCGCGCGAGGATGTAGTCGGCGACGCGGGCAATGTCGGGGTGCCTCGCGTCGAAGGCGGGTTGCGTGTGAGCGCGTTGCGTAGCGCGGCAGCGATGGTCTCGAAGTAGTGGCGCATTTGGACTGTCTGGCTGGCGAGGGCAACGCGAGCGCAGAACGAGGGGGCGTCGTTGGCGATCGAAAAGGGATTTTGCGCACAGGGCGGCGGCGGTGGCGACGCGAAGCGCGAGTTGAGGATCTCGTCGCCACACGGCCCTGGAAATGACGCGCGCGATGAGGGCGCCCCCAGCTCGGAGGCCCGACTTATTGATGTCACCGATGAACTTGCGGACCCAGTCGTAACGAAACAGCAGGGCAGCTTTAGACATGAGCTTCCTGTGCGAGTGCCCGCAGGCACCCTTGTAGACGGCCTTCGTGGCATGTAGCAGCTGCAGGAAGCAGACGGGGTAGTCCGGGTCGCGGAGATCGACGGGTGGATGACCTGCTCGATCAGCGGCAAACGCGGCTTTATCCGAATGAGGAAAGCGACGGTCGCGTGGATGCTGGAGCGGTCGTTCGAGAACAGCGTAGCGTCGCATGCGCAATTTGAGTCGACGGTGAGCTCGCCCCTGGCGCGCAGGAGGGGACCGGGGGAGATGCGGTCGAAGGAAGAGGCGGGGAAGTACGAGCGGTTGAAGCGCATCGGGAGGGCGGTCTCAACCGCGAACATGGGGGTCGAAGAAGGATTCCCATAACGGCTGCTGCTTGCGGCTTCTGTTGACTAAGCCAAGGTGCGCGTCCAGCAGTTGCAGCTGGTGGAAGCTCTGTGGTGGTGGTTGGCAACGTCGGAAACGTCAAACGAAATGAATGTGCGCATGCGGTAGGTAGCCTCCACCCATGTGCGGTTGAGCTCCCAGGTATGCAGGAACTTGCCGCGTTTGTCGATGGGGTTGAAGTAAAGGCAACAGAGATTAGGATGAACTTCAGCGCTTCGCAATTGACCAGGTCCACTTCGAAACCGCTGCGTACTTGAATGACTCTTTCTGGATGGCCCGGAGCAGCCCGCGACGAGGCGACGTGGATGTTCGGCGCAAGGCTCGACGCGGCGACGCGGGTGCTCGGCGCAGGGCTCGAGGCGACATGGAAGCTCGTGGCGAGGCGCAAAGCGATATGTAAGGCGGCTTACAACGCCAGAAACATCAGCAGGAATGGATGGCAGCTCGCCCCAGGGCGAGGCTGCGACCCTGGCGCGGGGCAGGGCCGCAGAGCCGTGCGCCTCCTGGAGCGTGGGCACGTACTTGCATTTCATGTACTTGGCGACGGCAGCTCGCTTGCCCCTGTAGCACATGCTGGCATGCGCGTTCCCAATGACGGCGGTGTTCGGCTCCGCAATAGCATCGCACCGCCGAAGCGCCCGGCGGAAATGATGAGCGCCGCGTGGCTGACTCCGCGTGAGCGAAGAACGCCTGGAAGGAAGTGGGGACACTGCCGCGGCCGATGGACTGGCACTACGGGTTGTTGAAGGCCTGCTCGTTCCACTGGATGATGGATGATGATTTTGACGACGGGCATGGAGTCGCAGTGGATCTCTCCCTTGGCGCGAAAGGCTCTCCACCGTTGGCGAGGGTAGCACTGCTGCATGAGCTGAAGGAGCTTCTTGGTCTGGACGTCTGTTCTGATCTGCTTGGGGGGCTTGTCAGGGTTGATGTAGATGTCGACTGGCTGGCCTGTGGTGTCAGACGATGTAAACCGCTCCCATTGGCCAGCAGCGTTGCGCATGGCGCGTGGGAGAGCCAGAGCACGGGGTACTGCGACAGCGTTGCCATCTTTGACTTGTAGAACGAAGCGGCGGGCAGGTTCGCCGTCTCCGAGTAGCTCCGAATGATCTGACTGTCGGTTGGCCTCTGCAATATATTTCTGGAGGTCGTTGAGCAAAACGTTCGGGTCAATGGGGGCGCTGGCAGCCCACGACGAAGAGCGTCGGGTCAGGTGGTCGGTCCCAGTCGGCAAGGCGGTTGAGGTCCGCGATCAGTGTCTGCGCTTCGGCGAGGGCCGGCGCGTCGCGCATCTGGTCGGTATGTTGCCACATTCGCTGGCGTTCTGCTGCTTGGCGATCTTGTCCTCTGCGGGTGCGGGCAACTTCGTCATGCGATGCATCCACTCGGCGTTCTGTAGCTGTATCTTGTTGTTGGGCGGGGAAGCGGAAACTTTCACGATATTCAGCGAGGAGCTGATCTGCTTGTGCTTGAAATCGAAATGTGGCAGCAGCGACTTGGCGTTGCATGAGTTTCCGTAGAGCGACGTCAAGATATTCGGGTATCCCAGGAAGAGGTCCATGTCGTTTTGGGTGTGCATGATGTGATTCTTGTTCTGATCCAGGGGTAGCGTGTCCCGTAAATGGGGTGGTTGGCGCAGCAGCGGGTTGACAAGCGAAGGTAGGGGCCATTTCGATGTCACGTGCGAATTGTTCGGCGGCTGCGGGTCCCAACTGCAGCTCGACGAACTTAGCGTCGGCCCAAGGGTCGGCGGCGCCCACGAGGGAACCATGAATAGCAGGACCATGCGGGGGCTTCTCGGCCTCTTCAATGGCCACGGCGGAGGCTTCGGGCGCAGCACTTCCTCCTGATCTGGCTGCATTGCGGGTCGGCGTTGGTGGTGGACGTGCGGTGCCCCGTCCTGCTGCTCGAAATTGCGGCTGCGGAGCACCTGCAGGGCCTTGACTACTTAAACCTGTGTTGCCACGGTGTTCCAAGTGTGCGCGTGTAGCGCGACGGCCATCTCGGCGAGGTTCTTCTCGTCGGTGCTGGCGGTCATCGTGGCGGCGGCCATCGCTGCGGGGTTCTTCGCGACGATGGGGGCGGTCGTCACGACGGCTGCGGGATGTGGAGTTGTTGGAAGTGTCGCCCCAGTCTGAGGAGGCAGCATACATGATGTTGTAGTACACACAGGATGAGTAAGGGTGCTGTTCAGGATGTCGCCACTAGCTGGGACCGCTGTTCCACCACTGCGCACATATGTGCCACCTGTGAGGCTCGGGGCAGCACTCTGCCAGGCGATGCGGATGCACGGCAGAGGACTCGGCGAAACGATATGGATGCTCGGCACGAGGCTCGGAGCGAAATGGAAGCTCGGCACAAAGCTCGAGGCGATACGAATGGCGGCCTGCAACGCCAGAACAGATTGCAGGAATGGGCGGCAGCTCGTCCCTGGGTGTGGCTGCAAAACTGTTGGGACTGGCCGCGGACTAGCGGTATCCACGCTGCGCTTGCGATGGCGTGCCATCTTGAGCCGAAATGGCTACGGAGGAAGGAGGAGGAGCAGGAGGAGCAGGAGGGAGGAGGGGGAGGAGGAGGAGGAGGAGGAGGAGGAGGAGGAGGAGGAGGAGGAGAGGAGTCCAGCGTGCGGAGGGGAAGGCTCCAGGCTCCCGACGGCCGCGCCCCGCGCGGCGCCAGCAGCCACCGCGCGCGCGCTTACCTGCTCACAGGCAGCGCGCCAGGAGGAGGACGCCGAACATCTCCTCGGACGTGAACTGGATGCTGATCGTGATCAGCGGCGGCTCCGCGGAGCCGAAGTGGATGATGTACGTCGGCATCTCCCTCGCGATGCCGATCAGGTGCATGTGGATGTCCGTGTCCAGGGGCCGCCCCCGCCCGACGGCGGCGATGGTGCTGACGCAGCACGGGCGGCGGCTTCTTCAAGGTCTTCGTGGCCCTCAATGCCGCCCTAGCGGCCGTCGGGGTGGCCTCCGCCGAAATGTGGGTCTCCTGCCTGAGCACGTGGTACGTGGGGCAGGCGACCGCGATGGACTCGGCGCTCTCGTTGGACTGGTCGGCGAGTCCGAGCTTCGCGAACTCGGTGGAGAGAGGGGGCGCGCCGCAAGCGCGCCCCGCAGCCTGCGCCAGCGGCGCGCAGACCAGGTAGTGGCGCATCTTGTCTTGGCCGCTGGCGCAGCCGAAGATGCACTGGCGCCTGCCGCTCGGGTAGGCGATGCGGTAGGACGTGAGCCACGAGAAGGACAGCGTCCTCATCCACGCTGTCGCCCACGATGGGGGCAGCCTTTTCATGGCGGTCTGGATGTCGTGCATGATGGCGGGGTTGTGGATGAAGAGCTCGCCGGCGCGTGGGAGCTCTTTCACGATGCGGTCCAACAGGAAGGGCCCGATGCCGTCGGGCCCGCGGGTGGCCAAGGCCGAGGCGAAAGCATGCTTCTGCGCAAGGCCAGGCTGCTCGTTGGCGACAGCCGCCCGCGCGGCCTCGACCGCTGGCGCCACAAGCTGGCGGGGGTAGTGCACGTGGTCAGAGGTGGCTGTCGCGATCTGGTGCATCGTCTCTACGAAGGCCTGCGTCTTCCACCACGGCGGTGAAAGATGGAGGGCGCCCCGCGCGGCACCCCCGAGGGACTGCTGGAGGCCGTAGGAGTTCAAGCCTGCGTGCAGCCTCTCACGGATCTCGGTGAACTTGTTGAATGTCGAGGTCACCGCGCGGACGATCGTCGCTAGCATGCTGAGCTGGAGCGACCTCGGCGCGGGAACTCCCCAGTCCTCCAGGAAGGGCCAGTCCTTCAACCTGAAGGCGCCGTTCGGGAAGCGCAGGATGGAGGCGTTGATCCAGCTCTCGCGCGCGCCCGTTGTACAGGGAGACTGCCCCGACGGCTGGCGCATCGCTTGCGCTGTGCGCCATGACTCGGGAGCGGTACTTGTTGAAGGCCTTCGCGTAGATGAGCTGGTCCGTGGCACCAGGGCCCAGCAAGAGGCCGAGGTAGGTGAGGCGGTCGCATATGTTGAAGTCCTTGAACTTCGGGACGATGTTGAGCAGCGCGTTCTTGAGCTTGAGGATGAGGTCGGCGTTGACCTGGCCTGCCAGGGGGATGATGTGGCACTTCGGCGCCTTCAACTCCAGACCGGCCAGGATTTCCATGCAGAGCATGACGTCGGCGAGGTAGACCAGGTAGGCGGAGGCCCGAAGGGCGAGCCCGAGGTCATCAGCGCATGCACGGCAAAGTCCACGGCCTTGGGCTTCGGGGACGGTCTCGAGGTTGAGGAGGAAGCATGCAGTGCCCAGTGCGTAGAGCGTGCCGCTCCAGCCGCATCCTTGGATGATGCCTGACCTGATATAGAAGAGCGGGACGTACTGACCAGCGCACGGGGCCATCGCGAGGATGTTGTTGCACATGGAGTCGAAGAACATGAGGATCGCTTCAGGAGCGCCCATGGCCTTGAGCGCCAGGCGGATGAACTGGTGGGCGAAGCTGGGGAAGGCCTGCGCGATGTCCAGCGACACGAGCACGGGCAGCATGTCCTGGGCGTCTGGGTCGGCCGAGGCAATGCGGCTCTCGGCGTCGAGCTCGAGGATGTTGTAACCGAAGTTACGCCGATGGATGAAGCCACGCTGTGAGGCTGGGACCACCTCGGCTGCCACCGTTGCCGTCGCAGCATTCATCGTGCTGCTGATTATCTTGAGGGACGTGTTGCGCAATCCAAGGACACGGACTTTGGGCGGGTCTCGATGGCAGCCGTGATGTTCCGAGTCCTCTGGTTCCTCACCTTTGGGCAGGAAAGCTTGGACGGTCGCGTTCACTTCGTCGGGGAGGATCCCGCCGTTGAGCATGTAGCACATGACATCCCAGAGAACCTCGGCGCACTTCTCGTGGGCGGACCAGGCGAGATACGGCAGTCCGTCAAGGCCGGGTGAAGTGGAAGACGAGCGCCTGGCAAACTTCTTGAGCGTCTCGTAGTCTGGCGGCCTGTACTTGGAGAAATCGATGGTGGGCGAGAACTGGTTCAGGTAGACGGCGGCCTTGGTCACGTCGACGGTCTTGCCCTCGAAGACCGGCTGCCAGTGCTCGACAAGCTTCTTGAGTCGCTCGTTGGGGCCCGTCACGGTGTCCTCGCTGATCTTGACTCCCGTCAAGATCAGGCGCTTGCTGAGTGGGTTCCAGAGCTGGAGCTTCCTTTGCAGGGCTTGGGTTTGTCCACGTGCTTGAGCGGGTTGGAGGCGCCCACGTTGAACTGCTTGGTCGATGGCTGCTTGACGCTGTTCAGCGTCTTGGCGGAAGAGGTTGCTTGCCCACTCCTCGAACTCTGCATGATCGATGAGCCCGACGCTGCCACCATTGATCTGGATGTGTTCTTGTGCGACTTGGTGCCAGCGAAGGAGGCGAGCAGCGAGTTGTCGGTCTTGGCGCCAAACCGCACGTGAGATCGACTTCGTTACCTGGAGGAGCACGTCGCCTCTGCTCGGATGCATTTCATAAGACGGTCACGAGCTTCACGTGCGATTTGTCTGAGTAGGTCGGTGGTCTGAGTCAGCTTGGTCGGCGGGGACAGGTTGTCCATGGGGGAGGCGGCAAACATCTTGTCGGCAATTTCTTTGAAGACGGGGGACTTGACGATGTACTGTGCGATCGGCTGGTTCGGCGAGGGTTTGGCATCGCGCATCGTGAAGGAGACGAAGAGGGCGGCATGGTCACTAACACGACGGCGTGAGAGGTCTTCAGGTGTGGAAAAGGTGGAGGGCGTGACAGCCAGCTGCAGCATCTGAGTGGGAATGAACGAGCAGAAGCATCTGTCGATGGCGGTCTCGGCCTTCGCCTCGGAGCAGTAGTGCGTGGTGTCGGCGCTGTCGATCTCCACTAGGTGCTTCAGGGCGTTGTGCCACTTGCGCGACGATGCTTTGGACGTTTCAGTTGGGTTCGAGTTGCCCTTTGCCACAGGGTCCAGGAGCTTCAGCTTCCCTACGGCGGAGAACTTGAAACCCCCAGTGACGAACAGGACAACGCGGCTCGGGTCGGACCTCGCCCACTGCAGGTCGCTGTTGATGCGCGTGGTGATGTTCTGGATGGTGGCGTTGCTGAGATCGTAGTTGTGGACATTGTAGAAGATCATCACTTGGTCGCCAACACGGAAGACAGAGCGTAGAACACGGCCAGGAAAGACGGGATCGCTCACGGCGTTCATCCCAGCAGGGAACACAGTGGCTACCCCACCACTGATAGTGCCATGATGTCCAGGAGCGAAGGAGGAGTGCATGTCAAGGGTGCTGTCGATCTTCCGCATGAAGGCGAGGAGCTGGCCGCGGTTCTGGTGGACCTCCTGGATGCCCAAGACCATCTTGCGCAGCGGCATGGACTTGAGGTACGAGGACTTCTCCACGACGCGTCTGCCCTGGTAGCCCAGGAGAGCGCGAGCGTTCCATGTGCCGACGGCCATGCAGGGCGTCGGCCCACTGGCCAGGCGGTTCTGGCTGCGCGCCAGCTCGTCATAGCCAAAATTGCGGGGCGGTGTCCTGGAACGTGAGGACGGTCGGCTCGTCCCTGCCTGGGCGGACGCTGTGCGCGATGACGGGGGCCCAGCCTGCAGTGATCCAGGCCTTGGTGCGGTCCACGCGCCAGACATGGTTCGGGAACTCGCGTTCCATGGCCTGGCGGAGGCGCTTCCCCGCGATCTCCGTCTTGATCTGCTTCGGCGACTTGTCGGGGCCCATCCGCAGCTCGACCGCCCCGTGGCCCGAGACAGCGTCGGCGTAGACGCGCACCCAGGTGCCGTTGGGCGAGCGCATGCTGTCCAGGACTTTCTGCGCACGGCGGCTGGCGGGGCCAGGGAGGCCCGTGAACTTGATGGTGAAGAATTTGGCAGTGTCGTTGCCAGTGACAGTGAAGTCAGTCTCGCGGATGTCGCAGCCCACCACGAACTTGGTGAGGGACTCGGTGGCCTTGGCCAGGGTGACCAGGCCGTCCGCGTGGACCTTGATGATCGTGGCGTCGATCTCGCGGTCGAAGTCGCGGCTGATGAACTGCTGTTTGATCGGCTGCTGGTTGGCCGTGGCAAGCTCGCGTTGCAATGCTTTGATCTGCTCCGCCATGAGCTCGATTGCTTTGTCGGTCTTCTCCTGTTTGGCCTCCACCTCGCCGACGCGTGTGTTGAAAGCGTCGAGCTGTTGCTGGAAGTGCTTCCTCGTGGCGTCAATATGCTGGCCGACGGCGAGGTGGACGTTCTTCTCGATCTTGGCGCCCAACCCGTCGATGCCGTCCTGGGCGGCCTTGAGCGCCAACGAGATGGGATTGGTGGCGGTGCTGACGGTCGCATTGATGGACTCTTTGATTGAGGTCTCCATCGCGTCGATCTTCGACTGGAGGGACTGCACGTAGGCCATGGTGGCGTAGGCGTCCAAATCTGCTTCATCTCCTTGCGGTGGCGAACGGGAGCGGTCAGCCCTGCCGCCAGGATCGCCACCAGGCTCGCCAGGAGGAGGACGCTTCGAGATCCCTTTGCAGCGCAGTGGCATCGCAGCGGGAGAGCCTCCTTTCTCCGACATGGCGAGGAAGAAGTCTGGGACGCTCGCTCCCACAGGAACGGGAAAGGCCTCCGTTTACCCGTGGTGGCGGACGTCAGTGCGGGTGAAGTCTGCCAGGCCACAGGTGGCCTTGCCTCCCGCGGACTAGCGGTGTCCGCTTGTTCCCCTGAGGAACTCACCATCTCGAGCCAAAATGGCTACGGAAAGAGGAGGAGAGGAGGAGGAGGAGGGGGAGGAGGAGGAGGAGGAGGAGGAGGAGGAGGAGGAGGAGGAGGAGGAGGAGGAGGAGAGGAGGGAGGGGGAGTTGGAGGAGAAGGAGGAGGAAGATCAGGAGGAGGAGGAGGAGCAGGAGGATGAGCAGGAGGAGGAGGAGGAGGAGGAGGAGGAGGAGGAGAAGAGAGAGAGAGAGAGAGGAAAAAAAAAGGCGCGGCCTGCACGAAACCGCGCCATCGCACGTCGCCGGCGGCGTTCTTCTCGGCGAGGAGGAGCAGCCGCTCCTGGGGGGTCCACCGCGGGCTCGCGCGCGAGGCGCGCGCGCGCGCGAGGGTCACGCCACCCTTCCCTCAAAATTTGTTCCTACACCGGCGTCGATCGAGAGATCGCCGCCTCTGTGTTCCCTCATCCTCCTGAACCCCCTCCTCACCCATCGTCCCTCCTCATCCTTTTAAGCCTTCTAAGCCCATTGGACGGGGAAGGGGAATCAGCCCAGCCCTGCTATCCTGCTCCCTGCCCTCCCCGGCGCGCGTTGGCCTTCTGGTCGGCCAAGCGTCGCACTGCTTGGGAGGAGGAGGAGGGGGAAGAGAAAGATGTTTCACCTGCGGGTCGCGGGGCCCATGGGTGCCACAAAGGGTCGAACCCCACCTGACCTGATACCCGTTGCAACCGATCACGGCGCAACTTCCGCAGTTCAACATACAATGCTGGGTGACACACGGGATCCATGAGACGAACCCGGAGACTCGAGGCGATGGCGCCGCATGCATTGCAGAAGAGTGCGGGCATACCCGTCGCAGACACAACCGTTACAACAATATGATGCCCGTACTCTGGTTTCTTCGCCTCCTGGAGAACGTTTTGAAATGAAACCGAAAGGGAGAAGCATCGTGTGGTGGTCAGCAACTTGGCTCTAAACCGATGGCACGCAATGCACTTCCAGCAATTCCCGTCCAAGACTTGGGCGTGGGGCACCCTGGCAACCGCACCCTGCCCACTGGGGAGCTTGGGAACCCGCTGGAGGGGGGCCGAGGAGCTCTCGAGTGGGGAGCACAGCTCACATATAGATAACATGGCACGGCCCCCCCCCCGAAAACAAAGTCAGCCCTAAAAAAAATCAAACCGTTCCCTGGCCAACCATTAGACAATGCCCCTTTTCGAGCCCATTGGTCTGCATACCTCTTTGCAATAATGTGCAACTCTTCATACCTGGAGGAAACTTCCTCGAGGGACTGGTGGGCTTTTACTTTGATTCATGGCGGGAGCCCCCTCTCAGCCGCCAGATTGCACATGGTGCGCCAATAGCCGGCCTGGGGGGGGCGAGTGGCTCTTGGTTGGTCCACATCAGGCTCAAGGCTCCTTGGATCAAGGCCTGGCAATCGACGTACACGGCCCTGCAATTTGGAAAACCTGTGCTGAGGTGGTCCAGAGCTTGCATAAGAGCATGGTGTTCCGCAGCTGGGGCCGTCTGGGGGAGGCCATCGGGGACAGGGCCGCAAATCGCCCTCCACTGCGACCCTTGGAATCCCGCTCTATGACCGACCAACCAGCTTGGGCCAAACAATCCTTACCAATGCGAAAAGAGCTCCCACCAGTGCAACACTTCCCGTCAGCACACAACTTAAACCGGGGAATTTCATTACCCGAGGGGTCTAGATACCTAACAGAGGCTGCGGCGGGCCGCTCAGTGGAGGGGGGCGTCGCCATCCACATATTGCTGCAATAGACGATCTCCCTCACCGACGTGTTCGGCCATGGCCAACACCTCCGGGTCAATGCCTTTCTGTAAATCTGGGGCACCTCCGTGCACGATGGTGCAATGTGTCGGGATGGCCGCGAAATATACACATCCCATGTGTGAGGTATCCCCTTTTTCAAGCTCCCGGCTGTGGTGTGGTTGTCACAAAGCACATGTTTCAGAATCCTCTTCTGGGTGGGGCTCAGCTTTTTGCCTCACACGAGCCTCCTAGCTGGCAGCCCCCAGGCACCCCGACCTTTGATTTCGAGAGCCGTCTGACCCATGCTATTGGACAGCTTACTTCCACCACCCGCATATGGTAACATTCATGCAGTTGCTAGCAAACCATGGGGTGAGCATCTTGGGCGGGGTGTCTGTTAGAGGCAATTGCTCCCCATTGTGACGGACGACCATGCCTGGGTTGATGAACTCATTCCTGACCTCTCTAAGCCAGAGATGCATATAAGCCCTGACGATCGGCGCAACCAGCTTGCTGTATCTGGATGGCTGCGGGAATGAGCCAGGGTCGCACGAAACACGAAGCTCAATTCACCTGCAACCAGGCCATCCTCTTGTTTGAGGTCGGCATGCCGGCATCACTCGCCTGCCACCACTCCTTGCAGTAACGCCTGAAGATACTGCCAGCACTTCTACTGGGCATCCTGTTAGGGTAAAACCTCCATCTCAGCTCCATCCCACCGTTCGGAATACCCATGACTCTAGCAGCCGAGAGCCACAATAAACCGACCTCCTGCGGTGTATATCCCAACACCTCCCCTCCAAACGTAGCCGCCGATTGTAGCCCCGTGAAGAGTAGGTTAGCACCAGACCCAGGCTCATCCATAAGGTTGATCTTTTTGAGGCGGGTGGAGATGACCGAAAATCGTTTGGTGCGCAGCTTCCTTGCTGCTGTTCGCAGCTTATGCTTACCCGTGCCGAAGTCGACGCCAAGGTTGCGAGGGAAGTGCTCGGCGCGGCCTGCCAACTCACCTAGTACCGACTGCGCTGCCTGGACCAAGGCATCCGACGAACCAGTGACGACCATATTCATCAACCAAAGGCACACCTAAGATGTCCCGGTGAAGCCTGGCCAGAGCAAAAGCCCGAGTTCGAAATACTCACACACACACTGATCAAAACATTCATGGGCTACCCCGGCATGGAAATTATGAATGTGGATTGTCAGCTCACCTGGCCCAGTCTGGAGCTGTTCGCACCAATTCGCAATCTCCGAAGCTACGAACGCCTTGACTTCAGATGTGGCAGTCGACGTGCCGGCGATGACCCCCCTGTGCGGCGTCACCGGGTCCGCTACCAACCAGTCCAGACAAATCAGACGTTCCCAGCTGTACGAATGGATGGCCGCATACGAGTGCCGAGTCTTTCCCTCGGCCCTCAAGGGCCGAGAGGGGGAGGCTCCATCCAGAGGACACAGTCGTGCGCGAACCGAGGGCCCCGATGTGCAAAGCAGGGGGCAACTTCCGCGCGCCGCTCCCTGAAGGGGGTCACGACAGATGTGGGCGGCTCGGGAGTGCCAAGCTGTGTCACTCCTCCTCCAGGGTCGAGGCGGTAGAATCTTTCGGACATCTTTTCCTGGCGTTGCTCAATAGGGGAGGGGGGGTCAGGATCCGGTGCGGGGGCCCACAGCCTACCATTCGAGAGTCCCCTACATGGTGCGGTGCCCACCCCGTGCTGCGAGGTCAAATGGTAGCTCGGGGTCGGCGGGCCGTTTGGGGACCTGGGCTGTTCTTCGAGGATGTCTCGGGCGCCCAGGGCACTCAGAGCCCCCAAAAACTGTGCAGGGCGAGTGACCGCGCGCGAGGAAGTCCCCGGGGGGCTCGTTTGAAGCCACCGCGCGGCCTGTCGCTGACCAGTTTTGGGAACCCCAAGGGATCTCTGCGGTGGAGGGCGGGGGGGAGCGGAGCCATAGTCATCGTGCTACCAGAAGTAACGCCAAATAAGGAACGAACTGGCTTTTCTAGCCGCGGCAAATCTCGGCCTCGAATAGCTTCCCCAAGCTGAATACAAGGAAGAGCCTGAAATCCAGGGCCCCGCCTGAACACGGATTGGTCCTTATTTCAGCGTCTTGTCTGTAAGACAGGAGGACATCCGCCGATGCCGCTCCTCATGCGCGTGGGCTTGGAATCGCCGCCTCGGGAGGACAGCGGCGGCACGGCTGCGCCCCATCACACCTTCTGGTCCGTCCAGCGGCGTCTGGGTTAGGGGCTGCGGCTCGCAGGCCAGAGGGAGGTTAAGCCATATTGCATGGGGTCGCGAGCTTTTGGGCCTCTGGGTGGCTCCCTGGCCCCGGTGCAGTCATTGCGCTGTCATGAGGAAAGCGAATCAAAAAGGGGCTCGGCCGCAAGACTGACTGGCTCCAAGATACAAGGAACGGTCCAGCAACTGACGACTCGTTATTCATACAAAACGATCTTTATTTCAACCTTTTGACTTCGAGCACTTTCGGGTGAGGTCCAAGTGATTTCAGGGAAGGATCGATGGCGGCTCGCGCGGGAAGGGGAAAGCAAAAGGGGTGGGTCTTTTCCGAAGGAACAGAAGGGTTCTGGCCTTCTGATCATCTTAGCCCCGCTGTTTTTCTGAGAGTGTCTGCCCTCGCTCACTTCCCCCATCGGCGCGCCGACGACCTCATGTAAGCGCACACCTGGCCACCCGACACATCCCAGCGTACGCCCTGCCAGCTCCCCGAGACTGTGCCCAAGCGTCGCGGCGATACCTCACTGAAACGCCAAACATCTCGGAGGAGGAGGAAAAGGAGGAGACGGAGGAGGAGAAGCAACAAAGAGGGGGAGAGGAACGAGGAGGAGACGGGGAGGACGAGGAGGAGGAGAAGGGAGGAGCGAGGGAGGCTCGAGGAGGAGGAGGAGGAGGCGGATGAGGATGACAGGACGATTGATGAGAAGGAGCAGCAGCGGCAGGGAGCAAGAGGAGGAAGACGAGGAGGAGGCGGATGATGAGGAGAAGGATGGGGAGGAGGAGGAAGAAGAAAAGGAGGAAGAGGATGAGGAAGAGGAGGAGAGAGGAAACAGGGAGGAGGAGGAGGCGGCGGAGG